CACACATGCAAGACCCAACTCTATGCTATCTATAAGAAACTTCACAGGGACTGAAAGGGAAAGGATGGAGAAAAATGTATCATGCAAATGGAAACCAAAAAAGAACAAGAGTAACTATAATTATATCAGATAAAACAGACTTTAAGACAAGAATGGGGAAAAAAAAAAAGACAAAGAAGGCCATTATATAGTGATAAAGGGGTCAACATAGCAAGAGGATATAAGTTGTAAATACATATGCATCTAACATCAGAACACTCAAATATATCAAACAAATATTGATAGACCTAAAAGGAGAGACTGGCTGCAATACAATAATAGTAGGGGACTTCAAGACTTTACTTTCAGCAATGGACAGGCCTTTTATACAGAAAATCAACAAAAAAATCATTGGAGTTTAGACCAAATGTACTTTAGAACAAATGGGCATAACAGACACACAACATTCAGGCCCACAGCTACTGAATACACATGGAACATTCTCCAAGATAGACCATATGTTACACCACAAAACAAGTTGTAACAAAGTTTTTTGTTTTTTGTTTTGAGTTGAAGTCTCACTCTGTCGCCCAGACTGGAGTGCAGTGGCCGCTTCCGGCCACCGCAGCCTCGACCTGCCGGGCTCCGGCGATCCTTCCGCCTCAGCCTTCCAAGTAGCTGGAATTACAGGCCCACACTACCACGCCCAGCTAATTTTTTGATTTATTGTAGAGATAAGGTCTCACCAAGTTGCCCAGGTGGGTCTTGAACCCGCGGGCTCAGGCAATCCACTCACCTCAGCCTCCCAAAGCGTGGGATTACAGGCTGAGCCACCAAGCCTGGCGTAACAAAGTTTTAAAAAGTGAAATCATATCAACTATCTTTTCCGACTACATTGGAATAAAACTAGAAATTGATAACAGAGTAATGTTGAAAACTGAACAGATTCATGGAAATTAAACACTACATTCCTGAACAACAAATGAGTCCATGAAGAAATTTTAAAAGTTTAAAAAGTTACTGAAACAAATAAAAACGGAAGCACAGCATACTAAATCTGTGAGATACAGCAAAAGCAACATGAGGAGAGAAGTTCGTAGTTAAGTATTTAAAGTGTTTTTGTTGTATTTTATGAAATGTTTAAAATGTTTGCAGTGTATTGGATAAAACCTAAGTTTGTATTTAAAATGTAAAACTCCATTTTGTGGCTTGTCTCCATGTTGTTTACTTGTTATTAAACTTCTGTGTGGCTGATGCAAGAATTTTTAAATTTTGCTCATAAACAACCCTCACAGTCCTGCACCTTAGCCAGTGCTCTAACGGTTCCCCCTTATCTGAGTATACTGTATGCCCCCTTATCTAAGCGTACTACGTGTCAAATCCCAGAACATGTGTTTCATGTGTTTTTCTCTATAATGACTCAGTTTCCCAACTGCTTTTGCCTATAAAGACTCCCGCAGATTTCATTCGTCATCAAGAGTCTGGGAGGCACGAGCCCCCTCTCAACCGCCAGCTTTAATAAAGAGCTTACTTATTAATTTGACCTTTAATTGGGCTGGTTATCTGATTTCTAGCGATTCACTTATAACTATAGCAATAAATACCTCTATCAGAAAAGCAGAAAAATTTCAAATTAAAACCTAATGAGGTCCCTCAAGGAACTAGAAAAGCAAGGACAAACCAAATCCCAAATTAGTAGAAGGTAAGACGTCATAAAGATCAGAGCGTAAATAAATAAAATGGAGGCTAAAAAATTACAAACAATCAAGGAAACAAAAAGGTGGTTTTTTGAAAAGATTAAATCAACAAATCGTTAGCTAGCCTAATTAAGAAAAAAAGGGAGCAGAGTGGTGTCTGTTAGGACCCACTTTCTCAGGTTGTGCCTTCTTGCTGTGTCCTCACACAGTAGGAGGGGCAAGGCACCCCTCTGGGTTGTTTGATGAGGGCACTAATCCACTCAAGGGCTCCGCCCTCCTGATGAAATGACCTCCCAAAGGCCCCACCTGCTGATACTGTCACCTTGGGGGTTAGTTCCCAACACAAGAACTTTAGAAGGACACAAACGTTCAGATCATAGCAGTGCCCACTGACATCTTGGTCAGGATAAAGAGGGACTATCCTATGTGACATGAGTCATTATGCATTCCTGGTCCTGGACCACTAAGTGCCAGCCAAGACCCCCAACAGATGGCATGAGAACTGCATGTTTGATCAATGCTGAATTGCACATTGGCCGCAAAGCTAAACTCACTGTGATGTCTTTATAGATGTGCGGTCAAGAAAGTTACCAGCCACATCACGGTGTTCCTTTTATTTTGTCCACTGAGTATCCACAAGTTTGCTGCCCATTTCCAGTAGCTGGGCATAATACAGTTCATGATCAAGTCCAGGTCCCACCATTTTGTGATCGTGAGCAAGTTATTTTCTCGAAACATTCATTCCTTCATGTGAAAACCTGGGATATCACTGGTTAGTACAGTGACCGAGAGCCTATTATGTGTGATGCACTATTCTTTGTGCTTTCTGTGAATTCACTTAATCCTCCTAACAGCTCCATGAGGTAGGCACTATCTCTGTCCCCATTTTGCATAGGAAGAAAATGCACAGAGGGGATAACCTGCCCAAGGCCACAAGCTAGAAAATGGCAGAGCCAGGAGGGCCATGGTGGCAATTAAATTGACTAGTGTGTACAAAATGTTGGTGCAGGGAATTTGTACAAGGTCTACTACTATGCACACAATCAACACAGGTTAGTTATGATCACAGTCGAAACCTTAGTCTCCACTTCCACGGGTTAAGTCTTAGATAAAACTTGATTTTCTTACTACTGTGACAGAAAAGTCCAAACACATGTTTTCTCTGGTTCAACATCCATGTAATTATGATTCAGGTTCATTCTGAGACTTCAGGAAGGTTATCCACTCTGTTCTTGTGATTCTGCAAGTCTGATCTCATGGGGTTTGGCAAGTTCTTTTCTGTAAAGGGCTAAATATTCACGTCAGGCTTTGGAGGCCCAGTCTCTATCATATATCCTTCCTTTTTAAAAATGTTCAACCCTTTTAAAATGCAAAAATCATTTCCCCCATCTCTCCTCATAACACCCCCATCACTTCTCCATATCTCATATCGCACTTCCCAGTCTCACCCCATCACTTCCCCATCTCTCCCATTACTTCCTCCATCACTTCCCCATTTCTCCCCATTACTTTCCCTTCTCTCCCCATCACTTCCTCATCTCTCCTCCATACTTCCCGCATCTCACCCCCATCACTTCTCCATCTCTCTCCCATCACTTTTTCATCTCTTCCATACTTCCCTCACCTCTACCCCATCACTTCCCCATCTCTCCCTCATCACTTCTGCCATCTTTCTCCCATCACTTTCCCACCTCTCTCCCATTATTGCCTCTATCACTTCCCCATCTCTACCTATCACTTTCCTATCTTTCACCTATCACCTCCCTATTTCTCCCCCGCCACTTCCCCATGTCTCCCCTACCACTTTTCCATCTCTTTCCTATACTTCCCTCACCTCTCCCCATAACTTCCACCATCTCTCCCCCATCACTTCCCTATCCCTCCCATCACTTCATCTCTACCATCACTTCCCCAGTTCTCCACATCACTTCCCCATCGCTCCCTATACTCCCCCCATCACTTCCTCAACTCTCCCCCATCACTTTTCTATCTCTCTGCTGTCTCCTCCCCAATCTCTCCCCATCATTTCTCCCAGCTCTTTCCCATCACTTCACCCATCTCTCCCCTGTCACTTCCTCCACCTCTCCAATTACTCCCCATCTCTCCCTACCTCCCATGACTCTCCATCTCTCCCACATCACTTCCCCATCTCTCCTCATCACTTCCCCTAGCTCTTCCCCATCTCTCCTCATCCTCCATCACTCCCCATCTTTCCCCCATCACTTCCTCCCTCTCTTCACTTTCCCAATCTCTCTCCTATCACTCTCCCATCTCTCCTCCATCACTTCCCTCATCTCTCCCCTATCACTTCCCCCAGCTCTCCCTCATCACTTCCTCCATCTTTCCCCCACATCTTCCCATATTTCCCTATCACTTCAGCCACTTCTTTCCCCATATCTCCCCATCATGTCCCTCATCTCTCCCCATCATGTCCCTCATCTCTCCCCATCACTTCCCCCATCTCTCCTGTCTCCTTTCCATCACTTCCCTACCTCCCTCTCATCACTTTTCCCATGCCTCTCTTCATATACTCTTCTCTAGATCCACTGCCAACCCCCTCCCGACTCTGAGATGCTGTCTTTCTGCTTCAGTCCTTTCCACTCCAATGCCTTTGGAGTTCCATCATCCCCTTCTTCCTTCTTAAAACCATGTTCTGGGCTGTTCACTCCAACGTTCTGAACAAACCCCACGTGGCTACCCACTACAGTTTCAATGCTTAACGTGGTTCCTGAGCCCCAAATCTACCTTCTCCCCAGTCTTATTTACCAGTATTCATCATTATTCACTTATTTCCTCTGGTACTCTCTTCAAACTGTTCCTGACCCTTCCCTAAATATGCCCTCATGTTCAAGCCTTTGCTGAAGCCTTCCCTCCCTGAGAAATGCCTTTTCAGCCATCCTGCTTTCATGACCCCATTCCTTCTCATGCCATCCTCTCTGCCCCTGCTTTTGACTCCATTTCCACAGAACTTTGGTTCCTGTCAAATTTTCCACAAATTTGGCAGGAACCAAATTTGACCTTCTATTACATTATTTAGGTATATAAACAAATGCTTTATTTCTGCTTGAAAGCAAGCTGTCTGTTCTGAAATTATAACAAGAAATAGTCTTCAACCAGGCAACATGGCAAGATCTCCTCTCTACAAAACATCAAAAACTTAGCCAGGCATGGCGGTGCACACCTGTAGTCCTAGCTACTTGCGAGGCTGGGGCAGAAGGATCGCATGAGTCTAGGAGGCTGAGGCTGTGATGAGCTATGATCATGCCACTGCCTCCAGCCTGGGAAACAGAGTGAGTTCCTGATTCAAAAAAAGAAAAGAAATAATTTTAAGTTAAAACACCAAATTTATTGCATAATATTGACTATATGCACACACATAGAAAATAAACATTTCATATAACTGTATATCTTTTTTTATCTTGTATTTATAAAGACTGAAAAACTACCAATTTAGCAACTGGAATTAGTTTTAAAAACAAAAAGAAAAGCAAAAATCTACAATCCTTCATTTGAAGTTGATGCTGTATCACGGTTCATAAATACTTCATTTTATATAAATAAGTCTTTTCTCTAGTTACTAGGAATTTAAAATTAGGCTTACATGGATTCTTTAATCATGTCAAATTATCTTACCCATGATGAGGAAGGTTGAGCATGTCATTATTTTTGAGATACATGTATTTGATTTAAACACCATCCCCCGAAATCCCACTGTAAACAAACATTTCAATTGTGATAAACAAAGTCCCATAATAAAGTCCTTAAGTCTTATCAATCAGAGAAGAGAAAAAAAAATCTGAGTAAAAAAAAAAAAAAAAAGACTGCATGCATCCACTAGAAGGAGCAGCAAGGAGGGAGCATCGTATCAAGTAACAGAGACAGAGAAGGGGAGAGGAAGGGCTGTAGGGGGACGTGGGGGGAAGTGAAGACAGGAACGTGACTTTGGGAGGAAGCCAGGCAGGAAGAGAGGCGGCAGAAAGAAAAGTGGTAGAGGACATACAGTGACAGAGGAAGGGACAAGAAACGGATTATGTCTACCTCTCTTGGAGAATATAGAGATTGAAAATAATTAGTGGTAACGGAAGGGGCGGAGCTGAACCACCGTGTAAAGGAAGCTCAGCTGCAACTCTGAGCTGCTCTGCACATCTTTCATGAGGTCTAGGAAACAGGCACAGCCAAGGCAAGGCTGTTGCTCCCCCAAGAATTTTTCTTTAAGCAAGATATGTTCACAAAGTCTCCCATAAATTCTCAAGACTTCTGCCAGAGTAATGGACCCAGACACAGTTTTCAGAGTTGGGAGTCTTTGAAGTCGGGCCTTCCTCCTTCGGGTTACAGGGCTGCCACAAGCCAGGGCTGTGGCCGGGGCTGCAGAGGAAGCAGGTGTTCCACGAGCGCAAGGGAGAGAGGACAGAGCCGTCAGAACCATTATTCCAGAGGAGTGAGAAGTTAGGAGAAGGACACTGTGAGAAAGGAGGGAGACCAAGAGAGACATCTAGGAAAATGAAAATTCAAAAACCCACTGTCATTTTAACCAGCAGAATGTAACACATTCACATGTTATAAGAATGCTGGGGAGTTTGGTTTAAAACAAAAGCAAGACAAACAAAAACAAAACCGCCTCCAGACAAGAGCCAATTTTTCACCCCATCTCCAGCCCCTAATTTTTCAAAAAGGTTGACCGCTTTACAATCCCAGAAACACATCAACCAGGTTCAGGATTCAAAAGTCCCAACCCACTTACACAATAAAAAAATAGAAATCACGCCCCTATGGTTCTCTGTACAGGCCTCAATGTGACACTGAGGAAGGAAGGGAAACCGAGGACAAGCTGGGGAGCCTCAGGCCAGACTAAACCCTTCATAGTTGTCAAGGGCCTGGGTCAGGCGTGCACTCAGAATCTCCTTGCTGCTGTACTTGGGGAGGTCCAGCAGGTTGTAGCAAGTGTGGGCCACAGGCAAGTACTCCTCCCCGCTGGCTGTGGACTGGATGGCGATCTGTAGGCTGGCCATGCCGTAGATGGGGATCCGGTCACTGCCAGTCAGGAACACTGCAGAGAAAGAGGAGAGGCATCAACAGCTCTGTCGCTGTAAGTGGACCTCAGGGCCCTCCTCACAACAGGAGGGGAAGGCCTGACACCCTGTGGCTCGCATGGGAAGTACAGTTACATCTGTGTGCCAACACATATCCATGGAATGATGCTCACATGTCTTCAAAAAAAAGGGTACCTACATAATGAACATTTGTATACCTAACCCTGAGTTGTACTCCACATCTTTAAAATTAAAAAAAAAAACAAAAAACGGCCTCCATCAAACGTACGCCCTCATCAATTTTATGAGCGTTCACAAACCAAAGAGGAAAATAACATTGTTGTTTTTTTTTTGAGTTGGAGTCTCACTCTGTTGCCCCGACTGGAGTGCAGTGGCACGCTTCCGGCCACCACAGCCTCGACCTGCTGGGCTCCGGCGATCCTTCCGCCTCAGCCTTCCAAGTAGCTGGAACTACAGGCGCGTGCTACCACGCTTGGCTAAATTTTTTTTTTTTTTTTTGATTTATTGTAGAGACGAAGTCTCGCCAAGTTGCCCAGGCGGGTCTCGAACCCACGGGCTTGGGCAATCCACTCACCTCAGCCTCCCAAAACGCAGGATTACAGGCTGAGCCACCGAGACCGGCAGAAAATCACTTTTGATACAGGAAAAGAGGAGCTGACCTCAGGGGGAACCAGGAGGAAGACCAAAGTCCCTGTGACCTCAGGGTCCCTTCCACCTCAAGAGCCTGAGGCAGCATTGCCTGTACCACCCTGGCTATTGAGTTTCCATTGACAATTTCATTTGCTCTCTTTTTCCTGTCTCCATCTTCCTTCCTTCCTTGTTGGAGTCTCACACTGTTGCCAGGCTGGAGTGCAGTGGCACACTCACGGCCACTCCAGCATCGACCTGCTGAGCTCTGGCAATCCTTCCATCTTGGCCTTCCAAATAGCTGGAACTACAGGCACATGCTACCACTCCCGGCTAATTTTTTATTTATTGTAGAGACAAGGTCTTGCCAAGTTGCCTGGGCTGGTCTCAAACCCATGGGCTCAGACAATCTACTCGCCATGGTCTTCCAAAGTGCTGGGATTATAGGTTGAGCCACCAAGCCTAGCCCATCTCCATTTTTTTTAATCCAGAAGAGCTGACCCAGGCATTTGACATTTCACTCTTGTGACATGCACTGTGACTTGGCAGAGAAAGGGAGAGGGGAGAGAGAGAGAGACCCAATTGTCGTTCCCTGTTTTCTGGTGCGGAATAACTTTATCATCATTGAATTGCTGAAAATTACTATAATAAAATCTTTTTTTTTTTTTTTTTTGAGTTGGAGTCTTACTCTGTCGCCCAGACTGGAGTGCAGTGGCTGCTCCCGGCCACCGCAGCCTTGACCTGCTGGGCTCCAGCGATCCTTCCACCTCGGCCTTCCAAGTAGCTGAAACTACAGACGCACGCTGCCACACCCGGTTAATTTTTTTGATTTATTGTAGAGATGAGGTCTCGCCAAGTTAGCCCAGGTGGGTCTCGAACCCGTGGGCTCAGGGAATTCACTTACCTCAGCCTCCCAAAGCGCGGGATTACAGGCTGAGCCACCAAGCCCGGCTAATAAAATAATTAGTTAAGAAGTACCTTCAAATAACCTGCCATTCCCCAAGGCTGTGATTATAAACATTCTTGCCCAAATCTCCAGAGTTAATAAAAATGTACTTAAAGTTGGCCAGGCACAGTGGCTCACACCTGCAATCTCAGTTCTTTGCAATCTCAGAGGCAGGAGGATCACTTGAGGCTAGGAGTTGAAGACCAGCCTGGAAACATAGCAAGACCCAATCTTTACAAAAAAAATTTTAAAATAGCCAGGTATAGTGGCACACACCTGTAATCCCAGCTACTTGGGAGGCTGAGGAGAGGATCATTTGAGCCCAGTTCAAGGTTACAGTGAGCCACGATCATGCCAGCTGAGTGACAGAATGAGACTTTGGTCTCTCTTAAAAAAATTTTTTTCCCCATAAGTCTGATAGCTCCTGAAATGTCTTTTTCTTAAAGAAATCTCCAGGCCCATGGGCAGGCTTCTCTTCAATGTCACAGCCCAGAGAGCTCACTCAGCAAATCTTCCCATCATTAGCTCAGATGCCTACTGGTAACTCAACAGCCAACGTAACTGGGCAGAGGCATCACGGGGCCCTTCTGAAGAATTCTTTTTTTTTTTTTTGAGTTGGAGTCTCACTCTGTTGCCCAGACCGGAGTGCAGTGGCACACTCCCAGCCACCGCAGCCTCGACCTGCTGGACTCCGGCCATCCTTCCGCCTCAGCCTTCCAAGTAGCTGGAACTACAGGCGCGCGCTACCACATCTGGCTGATTTTTTGATTTATTGTCGAGATGAGGTCTCACCAAGTTGCCCAGGCCGGTCTCGAACCCGCAGGCTCAGGCAATTCACTCACCTCAGCCTCCCAAAGAGCGGGATTACAGGCTGAACCACCGAACCTGGCTTCTGAAGAATTCTTGAGTGAGATATTCACCTTCTCTCACCGGTGCTACAAGTGAGCAGCAGAATTGGGGGATAAGTCCTGCATTCATACTGATGTATGCTCAGTCTTATAAAGCAAGAGAGACTGCCTCTCACACCCTGAGCTTTTGGCTTTGTATGGATACAATTCTACACCATTTACTGGCTAATTTCTGACCCTGATTCCACACAGACCAAAACGGAGAAGAACCTCAGCTGTTTTTGAAAAGTTGAGCCGTTTATGTAAATTAGACATCATTCTCTTCTCCAAAGTCACTGCCCTTCTCAAATGTCATCTAGCCAGCTACAAAGAACCATATGTTGTGTGATTCCATTTATACGAAATGTCCAGAACAGGAAAACCCCCAGACATAGAAAGATTGGTGGAAGAAATGGGGAATGATTACAATGGGTACAGGGCTTCTTTTTGAGGTGATGAACATGTTCTAAAATTGTGTGATTGTTTCACAACTCTGTGAATATACAAAAACCACTGAACTGCACATTTTAAATGGGTAGATTTCATGATATATGAATTACATCTCAACAAAGCTGCTATAAATCTTATCTTCTCAGTTCTATCTGCAGGTAATACTCTGTAATATTTTTTTAAAGATAAAGAGATAAGGAAGGTTAATCCAAACAGTTTGCTTTCATAAATGTAACATTTAAAGGAATCACTTACATATAAAATAATTAGTATGTTTAGAACTGAAAATCAGTGAAATACTTCTTTTCTTTCTTTTCTTCTTGCAGTCCCTCCTGTTAGGTAACAGGTAGGGACTCACAATCTGTGCTGGACCTGAGATACCATTAAGACAAAAAGCATCAACATATTTAATTACTTGCACTTTACCACCTAAAGGAGTTAAACATTACTTGTGGAGTATGTCACCCTACACTGTGTGTTAGACTAAAATGTGGACAAATACCATATTGAGATTACTGATACTTACAGAGAAACTTCTTCTTCTTTTCCAATGGAAACTCATGAAATGTTTCCCAAAAGAGTTTCACAGTGGGATGTGTGGCTGAATAATCACCCTTGTAGATGGCAGTCTGTCCAAAAAAAGACAAAAGGAAAAAAAATGAATCTTACAGAAGATGATCACAGTGGACATCATACGCCATTTGCATTTGAGACTAAGCAATAAGTGCCGAGACACAGGGACTCCAGATCCTTCTATAATGCCATGCACTTTTGACTGAGGCCGGGCCTGGGCACACCCCTGGGTGGCCACCGCTTTGCCAGAGTATGGGGATGATGTCTTCTGTGCTCACCTCTTCCAGTTCTTTCCAGTTGTAGTTGCTATTCCCCACCATCATGGCCCTGAGCTCTGAAGGTTGGAAGAGCTCAAGGACTTTGCCGCCACACACTTTCAGGAAGCCGCTGGAGAAGGCTGTATACCACTCGTGAACTGAGATTTGGAAGACATAATTCACATAAGCATCCACAAACTCCTGCCTGCCAGAAGACCAAAGAAACAGAAGACATTTAGCTCAAAGTCATAAGGAGTTTATAAAGTCATCCTTCTACATGAGGTTGAGAGTGATGTGGAATGGAACATCATCAAATTCTCACACTAGGAGGCATCCAAAGGCCTCGTGTAGGTCACCAGCTCTCCTCTCCTCCCCTCTGTCCCAGTGCCGAGAATCTACCAAGTGTCTCAGGTGATCTGGGGCAAGGTGGGGTGAGATGGGTGGGAGAGGCAGCCAGGGAGGGAGAACCACGCTACTAACTGGTGCTCCCATGTTCATCTTGTTTAAGGTCCTGCTTTTAAAAATTTAGCTTAGGAAAAAAATAAGACATTTTCTGCTTTAAAAAAAAAAGTCTAAAATAAGAGGTCTAGGCTACTTCCCCTATTCTCAGAAACAAATAAAACTAAATCACCTGATATTTGTATCCTCACCTATTTTATTTTATCTTTGTGGATGAAGGGGTACACATGCAGTTTAGATACACGGATGTATTGTGCAGTGGTGAAGCATATCAGCTTTACTGCACCCATCACCTGAACAGTGAACGCTGTACCCAATAGACAATTTCTCATCCTCACCCCCATCCCACCCTCCCACCTTCTGGAGTCTCCAGTGTCCACTGCTCCCCTCTGGATGTCCATGTGGACCCACTGTTTAGCTCCCATTTGTAAGTGAGAACATGCAGTGTTTGACTTTCTGTTGCTGAGTTATTTCACTCAGGACAACAGCCTCCAGTTCCATCCATGTTGCTGCAGAAAACATGGTTTCATTCTTCTTATGGCTGAGTAGTGTTTCATAGCAGGCATGTACATGTATCACATTTATAATCCAATCATCCATGGATGGACGCTGCGGTAGAGTCTATGACTTTGCTATTGTGAATAGTGCTGCAACAAACAAGCAGGCAAAGGGTCTTCATAAAATGATTGCTTTTCCTTTGGATAGATACCTAGTAGTGCTCACCTATTTTAAAAGGCAATTTTACAACTTCTTTCTTATAAACCCTGCAACTATCTCTGGCAAATCTCAAATAATGGCCCCATCTCACTAGTGATCAGGTAAACGCAAATGAAGACAACTTGCCACTCGTACACCTCAGGCTGGCATGAGCTTAAACATTAGAAGATACCAGCGGCGAGTCAGGTGTGGGGAAATGGGCGCCTTATATGCAACTAGTGGGAGACAAACTGTGAAATCACGAGAACTAAAAATAGCCACCATGGAATAACCGAAGACCGACCAAACGAGAAAAATGAAGGCTATTTGCTGAGTGCACACTACAGCAAGGGGGTCACCCACTGTCATTTATGCTCTGGCAGAGCCTCAAAAGCAAGTAGAGGAGAGGAAAGCTTTACAGTGGAACAAAGGGAAGGCTTCAGGGGTGCCTGATCAGAGGCTGCTGACCTGGAAAGCCGTGCGTGGGTAACAGGGTATCCCAAGTGACTGCTTAAGGGTACGTATTCAGCTTCGTATGGTGGGTCCTAAGTTGGAATGGGGACACAAGTTAGGGAGGCTGTCGGTTATTCATCAAATCCTGGTCAACTTGGGCCCATTGTCGCAGAAGTCAATGAGAGGGAGAGAGAGAGCGGCCAGGCTTCCTGCAGGTCTCCCTCAAGGCAGGCTGGCTTCCTGGGCTGCCTGGTGAGGATAAAAGGTTGGTTTCCTGAGCAGGCTGCTGTAGATTGTGGGCCAGAGCTCTAGGTTTCTATATGGCCTGGCCACTGTCCTCAGGTATGTTCAGTCTCTCATGAGTGCACATGTACACTGTGAGCTGAAACATAAACGTCTGGGGAGAAAATGTGTCTCTGTCCAGAGAAGTTGAAAATGTAAATACTGGCCAGACTCGATGGCTCAGCCTGTAATACCAGTACTTTGGGAGGCCAAGTTTGAGTGGATTGCCTCAGCCTGCGGGTTCAAGACCAGCACAGGCAACTTGGCGAGACCGCATCTCTACAATAAATAAAAAATTAGCCAGGTGTGGTAGTGTGTGCCTGTAGTTCTGGCTACTTGGAAGTCTGAGGTGGAAGAATCACCAGAATCCAGCAGGTTGACACTGGGGTGGTCATGATCATGCCACTGCACTCCTGGGTGACAGAGATTCCAATTAAAAAAAAAAAACTAAAGAAAATGTAAATACCCTTTGACCTTGCTATCTACTAGCAGGTGGGTGACCCAGAGCAACTGTAACTGGTGTAACATGTGTGCACAGAAAGATGAGAACAAGGATATGCACTGCAGCATTTTCTTGTAATAAGAAAATCTAGAGAAACAAAACTCAATATCCATTTAAAATAAGAATGGACCAAAAAAATGGTATAGAAAATTTTAAAATTTCCTGAAACAAATGAAAATAGAAACACAACATACCAAAACCTATGGGATATAGAAAAAGTAGTAACAAAAGGGAAGTTTATAGCAATAGACATCTACAGCAGAAAAGTAGAAAGATTTCAAATAAACAACCTAATCATGAATCTCAGGGAAACAGAAAAGAACAATCCCAACTCAAAATTAGTAGAAGGAAATAAATCATCAAGATCAGAGCAGAAATAAAATCGAGACCAGAAAAACACACACAAGATAAATGAAATCAAAATTTGATTTTTAAAAGGTAAACAAAATTCACAAACCATTAGCTAGACTAACCAACAAAAAAAGTGAAAAGATTCTTATAATAAAATAAAAAACGAAAAGGGGGACATTACAACTGATATCACAGAAATGCAAAAGATCATTAAAATGGTTATAGACAACTACACACTAACAAGTCAGAAGACACACACACAGGCACACACACACTCACTCAGACACACTCACACACCACACACATGCTCTGTTCCCCAGCATTTCCATGGAGGCAAAGGGTATGTTTATGATCCAAGCAAGCCAACCTAAATAAATGGAGACCATGTATAATGAAATATCTAAGTTATAGAAAACTGTACATGCCTAAGCAACTGTGGTCTGAGGCACTAGGTGACCTCAGTTACCCTTTGCCCCTCTCCCAGTGCCTCTGTTTCCTTACTTAAAGCTCAGTACATGTTCAATTTTAAAGGTCCTACAGCTCTGGGTGGGACATACTCATGAATAATGTGAGAATCGTCCCAATCACAGCACCCAATCACAGCGGAAGCTCTCGGATGAGAGTGTTTGGAGGGCTGAGGTGCTGTCTCAATGGGCAGGGCTCGAGTACCAGACTCGAAAGCCATTATTAGGAACCAGCCAAAAGTCACAGTTGTGCTGCCATCTTCTCAGCTCACAGGCCTTCCTATCCCCAGACCATTCCCAGTCTGGCGGCTTCCCTAATCCAGTAAAAGGTGCAGATGGTAGGCAGGTTACAGGAGAAAGCCGACCCTCCCGGTTAAAAGTCCCTGACTCAAGACAGACCTCAAGATCCCCACTAGTGCTGCTGTTGGACAATCAGAAAAAGATCATTAAAATATATTCCCTCACTCATCCCATCTCTGTAGGCCAGAGACACAGGGCAGGGACAGACTCTCTGGAGGCCTGACAGGATTGTGAAAAGGGAAGAAAAAGAAACAAGGGACCCTTGTTTCCTTGGTCTTTGGAATTAAAGCTGCCTCCAGATGAGGGACAGGTAGCTAAACATGACCGTGACAATTATAATTGATGACAATTGCTTGGCTGCAAAAAATATAAACCAAGAGATGTTGTTAGAGATCATGCAGCAGCTACAGATCAGAGAAAAACCTAAGAACCAGGTTTTGGCTATAGTAAGAATCAGAAAACCCCAGAGATGTAATGAAGGGTCTCTTAGGACACCAGTATGAATGGGCTGCATGTGCTTTCTCTGTCTTTCTATCACTGTGACTCTAATCCCAGAACAACAGCTATGAGCATGACCATCTTGGGTCCTACTAATTTATGGTACAGACTAAACACAGTGAGGGAGGACTAAGACCAGTGAGGAAGGACTAGACCCAATGAGGAGTCTCAACGTTGAGTCTGCAGCCATCAGAGGAGATGCTGCCTGGTGCTGAGCAGAGAGAAACAAAGGTTGTCAACTGAGGAAGATGTCACGTTTTCATGTCAATGCAGTGACAGCAGCAGGCCACATATGCCAAATGAGGAGGTGACATGCCGTTCCCAGAGCATGCCCAACTCCAATTTAAAAGTGAGAGGAGGAGCTGGGGATGCTTCTTCAAGAGAAGGTATTTTAAGGACTTTGCTACATTAACTTGGCTCCAACCACTGTCGAGGAATTTCAGGTGGCTTTCCAGAAGGTTTTTTTTTAGCTTTTAATGTTGACATAATTTCACATTTACAGAAAAGCTGCAAGAATAATTTGGGGAACTCCATATACCCTTTACCTAGATTCACTATTTATATCTTGACCCATCCACCTTATCATTCTCTCTCTCTCTATCCTCTGTGTATGATTATTTAGATTAAAATTATGGACTTCTTAGCCGGGTGTGGTAGTGCGTGCCTGTAATTCCAGCTACTTGGAAGACTGAGGCGGAAGGATCGCCGGAGCCCAGCAGGTCGAGGCTGCAGTGGCCGGAAGTGGCCACTGCACTCCAGTCTGGGTGACAGAGTGAGACTCCAACTCAAAAAAAGAAAAAAAAAAAGTATGGACTTCACTGCAAATTGAATGGAGTTAGAGACCATCATACTAAGTGAACTATCACAGAAACAAAGAATTGAATACCACACATTCTCACTCATAAGTGGGCTCTGAACATTAATCACATTAGCACAATGGAGGGATTGGTTGTCACTGGGCAATGCTAGGGGATGGAAGGAGGGAGGGGGACACGTGACAACACAAAGGGTATCTGCTCCCAAACCAGGGAAAGTGAGGACCAGTTAGAGGCACAAACTTCACCTGCATGCAGCTTGCTTATGTAGTTAATCCTTACTTGTATCTCACATTTCTATAATAAAACAATTTTTAAAAAATGAAGTCATATTTTTTAAAAGAAAAAATGATAATGAACAATTACAGAGTGTTCACAAGGTGCC